TCGTCCTCGTCACTCACCGTCCGTGCGAACCAATGTTTGCATTCGGATTTGCTATGCGGGCGTATAATCGCAGGGTTTATCTCGTGCACGTTTGGTTTAGGATAAGAGGATCGAATATTTTCAATATTAAATAAAAAAGAAATGAGGCAAATATATAGGGATATTATAATATTAAAAAACTCAGAGTGCCACTCGTTCTTTGAAACGTGCGTTAATTTAAAACTGAGATCTATATAATATATATGTTTGAAGTAAAAATAAAATTTTAATATAATTAAATCTGAAAGATTTAATTCGGTGATTTATTTTATAGATGGTCTTTCCAATGAGACTTTAATCAAACAGATCCGATTAATATTTATACAAACGTAATTACGGGTTTATATAACGTAGATTTGCATGTTTAGTGTAAATTTATAATCAATCTCATCCTTCCAAATTAGAGGTAACGAGAGTTCAATATGTTACACATTGATTTATCGAAATCAATACATATTTGACTATCATTTCCCCTCTCCGTATTACGCGATATTAAATAATAAATACTAAAATAGTTATAGTCATGAATACCTATGAATTTCATAATAATAAAATTGCAATTTTGAGAAGATACACAGTACAACGAAGACCAAATATTATAGCAATTTAAATACTAATTTCACAGCGATCAAATATCGTAAGATAAAACCTTTAATTAACATAAATCGTTTAATCAACAATCAACGTTACATTATTAAAAAAAAAAAAAAAAAAACGAAATAAAAGCAAAATAAAATGGATGAAAAATAAATGCATCGGTCGTAAACGTACATTGTAAATTTGTAATCGTCGTCGACTTTCGCCCACCGCGTCGACGACGCGAGCCGATGTTTGCCCCGGGATAAACCACGCGGGAATAGAACCCCGGGATTCATCTCGCGTCTGGTTCAGGACGCGAGAAGAAGGGCGCGAAAGCGTGGGATAGGAAGAGGCGAAGACGAGCGACGAGGTGCGCGTGGAAGGCTACAGAGGAAAAAAGGCGGGAAATACTCTCGGGAGCCCTCGGCAGATTTATGTCGGCCTTGGCTGGCTCGCTGGCGCCCCGTATATACATTCATCCCTCTCTGGCTCCAGGATGAGGACGCGGGGATGTTTCCACCCTTCCTCACCGATCCTCATTCTCCCGCCCCCGCGGGCCAAAGGATCTTGCAGGATATTATACGATATGCACCGAAAGTTGATAGATGGCTATTACGTTCCGCTAAGACGAGCGTACCACGCCACCGCGAAAATTCTCTCCCTCAGGATTCTCCGCTTCCACACCGTGTGATTTCTCAACGGAAAAAACTCCTCCCACTCTTCTCGGCCGCGTTTCGTCGCCGTCGTCGTCGTCCCTACGTGCGCAATAATTTTCGGTTCCCTTGATGGGCGACCCTTCGTCGAAAATCCGCCCGGGGGTCGACTTTTCGCGCTCGGTAACGTCCGGAGACCGAACGTTATTGAAAATATTAAGGGGTCAGATTTATTTAACGGTTTTTATCCCTCTCACTTTATATTTTAGATTTGCGCCCCGACTGGTTTTGATATTCGCATATCGTACGCGTTACGTTACAGTAGAAGAAATTATTATTAATGTGTCCTTGCGTGCGTGCGTATACAGATGGATTGAAAGCGATTTTATATGGGACATGAATATTCTGTCTTTCTAATGGCGCCTGCTTTACTCTACGCGTTTGTTTTATCGGACTTCACACGTAATGCTCAACGAATATGAATGAAGTGTATTGAAATGAAAATACGTATGCATGGTTAAAAGGGAGAAACGGTCCAGTTTCATAATGATTTTCGCTGTCTGTTATTTTCTAGGTAAAGCTATAGCTCTACCCATGTCTGTATAAAATTGAATAAATGTTACGAGAAAAGGAAAGAAGATGAGAGATTTTTTTTTACGAAAATACCGTGCAGTAGATCGTTTTCCTTTTTTTTTTTTTTTTTATCGTGGGAGAACGTTCATATCTCTCCATTCCACAAAATGACATTTGCTATTCAACAATTCGTTCCGTGGCAGATAATTAAAATTAATAACCGCATGGAGTCATCTAGCAGAGTATCAAATATATGAAATGTAAATGTTTTTAATCGTATATTCACATTAATACTATTAGAGAAATTTTTGATGTACTCATCCTAAAAAAAATTCTGCAATCCATTTATTAAATTATTATAGATATTATTGTATCTACTTAACACACATTTAATCAACTTTTAAGATTTTACTACTCTCAATATCGTAGATGGTTTTGTTATTATATACATTATATATTAACGGAAAAAAACGTGATTTAAAAAAAATAATAAAATAACTTTTTCTCTATTAACTTTTTCATGTTTATATACACACACAAATGCCAGAAGAAAAGTCTCTCCATTGTCCTTAGCGAACCAAAATATTAAGCGGAATGCAACCGGGCAATAGATTTGCCAAGTAGAAAGCAGTCTCACTATGGGATTATAACAAAACCCTTGATCCCGGTGAACCGACCAACGTTAATACAATTAACGGAGCTAAGTACTGTAACACAGCTTCCCTGCCTCTTGGCCCAAATATTTGCATCGCCACGACAATCGCCAGGATGAATCAGTTTGTCGGCGAATTCTATTCACGAATTCTTGAGTTAATAGAATCGCAATGGCTACCACGACATTCTATATTACCGTATTATATATAATCATGGTAGAGAAAATTGCATAAATTAATTTTCGCACTATATGCAATGTATCATTAAAAATTAGTAAAAAAGGAATTAATCAATCATCAATAAAATTAACAAACTTTTTTTAACTTCAAGAGCTACCATTTAGCAAAGCGACTCTTGATCTTATTTTGACTTATTTTTCGATAGAGAATAAATAGGTACAGGGTATCCTATAGGAAATTGCTGAAACTAATCAACTGCCATTTTTTATTTTATTTTCAACGGTGCCAGATTTAATAGCAGCTATTAAAAGGATCGTCAATAACATTAAAAAACAGTTTTTACGAGTTTTCGTAAAAGAATAAAATTTTGTACAAATTCAAATAGTACGCACATCGAAAATATTTATCATTAGTTTACATATGTGATTATTAGCACTTTTTTCATTACTTTTTTCGCTAAAATAAACTGGTATACAAACATTTTATTTATATCCATTAAACAAAACTGCAGACTTTCCAACACAATTTTTATATTTTCTCAATAACTGCATTAAAAAATGATAGCTGATTAGTTTCAGCAATTTCCTATAAGATACCCTGTACGTATTGGGTATCTAGAAAAATTTGACAAAAGCTTCACCTTACAATCATAAAATTTCTTTTCTCGTACGACACGAGAACTGCGAATTCGTCGATAATAATAGAAGACACCGATATCTTTGGCACTCTCGAGTGCCTTTTGTCTTTCTATCCGTTTCCGGTCGACTTCAAAGGAGACCAATGTAGCTCGATTGGACCGACGTCCTTCGGTTAGGAGCCGTCAAACGGTCCGTGGGTATAAGCCAGTCGATCAGCTCTTTCGAATTTCGATGTTATATGCGACAGGCGACAAAGTGAGAAGCTACTATGAATTCCGAAGTGAAAGGATGTCGATAATGCGGAGGCAGTTACAAACATCAATTCAAAGCAAGAAAGACGCGATACGTAATCTATGGAAATGGTTGCGAAAGGAGATCAAATTTGACTGTTCCTCTATCGCGAAAAATTATATATAAATTATAATATTAATTTATCATTATTTTACACTGAGTATGATTTCTGAATTGTAACGCAATTAATTAATGAGGATAATTAGCGTCATTTTTTTAAATAATATGTTGAGTGTGTGATACACTGATAGAAGTGTCCTGCAACACCTTATGGTCAAAAGAAAGATATACATTATATCTTCATTAGAAACGTGATAACTGTTATCATGAAAATTCACGCCTGCTACGCTCCGGCGTAAATCAGGATAAGTAAGACATGTAATAGCTCTTCGGATAATTCCGGAACTTCTCACACCATTGAGTGCTGGATGGCACCATTGAGAGCAAGCGAATGTCAAATCACGTAGTAACATAACAATGAGACAATTCCACTAACTTAATCGCACAATTGAATGGAATTTAATCGCGAAATTGAGATTATAATCGGCAAATTTGAATAAATCAATCCCCGCGAAATTTTTACATTACCGCACACAAGAAAAATTGCCACGAATATTCATCATTTCGTTTTTTGAAACTTGCAGATTTTCGGGCAAAAAAATAGTTGTACTGTTATACGCTTCATTACGCGTCATGACAAAACTATCGATATTAATCGATCGGTTTGAACAAGACGCGCTTTCTTGGGAGCGAACGCAAGAGAGCTTCGGTCTCTTTCTGTTGTTTGCGCGTGCCTCGTAGATGGTCAGGAAATGAAAGCGTTTCGCCAGCCAGGTGGCGAGATTAGTATCTGCGACACGCTATAGAAACGAAACGTTACTTATTTCATATCCGACGCGAAACGCTGCGGCGTATTCAATGGCGCGGAGATGTCACGCTTCCGGCACGTACGCGCCTCAGCATTGTTGATAAGTCACCGCGTCTGACACCGGTACAGATATCGCTAACAAAACGCGAATCGATTTCCACTCCGCGTGAGACAGAAACAAAATTCCGCGTTTCTCTTCGTGCTCACGTTTCAGACACTTTAAATGCAGTCATGAAAAATTGTCGGGACAATCCGGAGAAATATTCGCGATGGAATTCGGTTTGAATCGACCGTGGGACGCAGAGCGGGGCGACGATCGACGTTTGAAGATGTCTATGAAATATTTAACGGCCTTTGCGAACGTCTATGATTCAGTTTTCCTCGCGAATATGTCTCGTCGACGTGTAGATATCTACAATTCCCGAGGAAGAATGTTGCGCACATGTACATATGCAGCACGACGCGGTATATGTGAGCTGAATAACGATTTCGTATATGCGGAGATAAAAAAGAAGTGTATACTCACTTAGACGAGATAGTTTGTACGCATCCGCGGTGTTAATCACATCCACGAAGGCTTGCAGCTCGAATTTGCGAATCGTTATGTTCTGGTTGTGGTTCATCATCGCGAACTTGAAGGCGGACTGTACTTCGTCGGTACCTTGCTCGAAAATGGCACCTAAAAACAGAAGATGGCAAGCCTAATTAAATGCTTATATTTTTGTAACAATGTAAATTTTACTCATACACAAATAAGTAAAAAGAAAAAAAATATATTGTATATATATAATGTATATATGTTGCAAGCTTTTTGTAAAATTAGTCTTTTCATAAAAGGCCCTTTTGGTGAAGAGTCGGATCTTTGAAGAGACGACCGGCATTTTATAAAAAGCCACTCTTTTTGTAAAAAGACTGAATTTACAAAGAGTCTGCGACATATATATATACAGAAATAAAAAAAATAGAATTTAATTATTTAATTATACAAGTTCGTCACATATTTACAAAAATATTCTACCCAAAGTATATTTAATCACAGAAAAAACAGTATCCTTGAAAAAATGCAAATATTCGAGTATATTTTATTCTTATAATAGCGCCAAATATAAATAATTTTGGATAAAGGATAATTTATCCTTAAAACAAAGTGCAAAGTATTCTTGGTTGAAGCTGAAATTTACTTATAAATATTGCAAGGACAAGTGACAAGTAAGCATCGGATATAAGCGATACTTTCAAGTATATATAATAATTCTTAGTTCAAATGTGACTAAGTTTGTTTTTACCATATGCGATTTTTAAAACAAGAATATATCTTAAAGATAAAATATACTTTACACAAACTTACAATATTTATTATTAAGGCAAATTGAAAATTTGTGATTACAAAGAGCATTCTATGCTTAAATCAATCAAATAGCGTTCAAGAATAAAAATATACTTGAATCAAGGATTCCCTTTTTTTCTGTGATAATATACAAATTAAGAAAGAGACGTGTACTTCTTTTTCCATTTTTCTCCCTTCGGATTAGTCGCATAAATTTTGGAAGCGTAGAATTTAGTATAAATTTTCGGGAACGCGATTACTCTGCCCGTCGTGAAATCGGATGTGATAATCCGACGCGACACCCTGTATCGGATGTCTGATGTGCGGCGCTCCGTTTACTACTGGCTCACATACGGCGCAGTGGTACAAGCCGACGTCTGTTCAGGCAGCGTCTGCATACGAGGCCTGCGTAATTACACCGATCCATTCGGCGTTAATAGTTGGTAATACGTACCAATATTAATGCTATCACTCGTCATGTAATTTACCGTAAACCGACTACATATCCGATAACTCGCTATCTATTTCTACGTAGAATTGTGATAAGGCACCGTCGCGATTGTCATAACACGCATTTGCACGGACAAAAGCCAGGTGGGTCGCAAAGCTGGAAATGTATACATATTTTGCAGAAATATTTTGCGATATCTCTCGATGAAAATACTGACGTCGTCGCGCTGTAAAAATAATACGGCTGCATGCATTTATCAAGCTATTTATTTCACGTCAAAAATGTATCGCATATTCCAGATGCTGCTGTCGATGAAGTGATCGATGATATAACGCTAACACAGTATGCGTCGTATAATCGAGTAACTGTCAGCGCTGAATACTGCACTTTGTGTCTTCGTTATTCCGAGCATCCCAGCGTTATACCATTAATATCTGGAAAGCGCGAAGGTGGGAGAGAGGCCGCCACGGATTTTCGTATATATATAGAAAATGTACGCTTCTCTGTTCCGAGTTAGTTGCGAATGCAGCGAGGAAGCGAACGAGAAGAACGGGCAATCGTGCGAATTGACAAACTTGTATCGAAATAATTTTCGTTACGACTTTCCAAGTTGTAACGCGCCGAACGTCGCCCGGGAGCTGTTTTTCCTCGTCCTCTCGCGCAATGAGAGAACTTTTCACGCGACGAATAAGATACGCTCCGAAGTGTTACACGCGATATTATGGCGCCCCTTTTCCCGTTTCATTTCTTCCTCGCCTCGCCTGTCTGCTTCTGCTCCCGTGCCCGTCACACGTGGATTTTTCTTTGCTTTCATGAGAGCATCTAATTTCGTAGTTTCGCGCGCCGCGTCTTGTGAAATATATCGGTAGGAAGTTTTCAAACAAAGTAGTATTACGCCCGCGCGGCCGACAGTAAACTGAAAGTGGACAGGATATCGCGCCGCACAACGTCGTGCGACGTGATTTTATATACTTAAAAGCGAGCACAGAGATGATATTGCTTTACGTTTTAATCCATATACAGCTATTAACGCTTTCGGCATTGTTACGCGACGAACAATGCGCTGGACAAGAATTATTCCCACCCAATGAAAATTACACCGTTAGACGCGGTGACAATAAACATTTTTGTCCCCATTATATTCTTGCATTATATCCTTACAAACATAAAATTTAGAGATATTAAAAATTTATTTGTTTATTTATTCTTCGTGCATCAAGTTAAAAAGATATCCTCTATAAATTGTACGCACGAAGCATTGGAAAAACATGACAGATTTGATAAACAAATTTCAGATATGTTATTCCTCGCATAAATCGTACCTTTTTATATCGACAAATAGAAATTATAGGATATTTCAATGTTAAAAATTGTTGCTACTAAATACCGGATATATTGATCCTGCGAAAAATACATTAAATCCGCTTTAATATATTTCGCTGAATCCGCGAATACAAGTTTACGTATGCACGATATTTAAGCGATTGCGCGCGCGTGTCAAGACACGAGGCGTACCGTAGTGTTTTACGAGGCGCATAATTTTATTATCTCGCTGAACGCACAGAGACGCGCGGATACGAGATACTCCGCGCGGCAATCTAAGCCATTATGCTCGCTGCACTCGCGAAAAACGCAGCGGAAAGAATTTTCTCTTCCCATTGTAATTCGGACGACGCAGCGCGCGATTACCCCACAATAGCGTCGCTAATTATACGTAATTGATATCCCAGGACGTATATATATACCGCTTATAATCTGCCTCCAGCCTTAATTCGCGGTTTATCTCGTGCGAACTCTCCCTCTCTCTCTCGAATAATTTGACAAGATATTTAAATGCGGACGGCGACCTTTAGAGCAAAATTATCGGGTCGACGATAAAGGGAGATTATTATTGCACACATGTGTGCTTAATAATTAGCACACGTTGCAGGCGATTAATGCCTTTGAAGCGGTTTTGTGCTGTCCAAGCGAGACAGGAGATTAAACCGAAAGACGTTCATCGCGCGATGAACGGTCCACGTGATATCGGGCGTCGCGCGCTAATATCATTTGATTAAAATACTTGAAAGGGACGAGTTGGAATTCGGTCCACGCTGTGTTTAATACGCTCTTTTGCTCGTTTCCGCCCTCCCTTTCGCAAACACGTTCTCTTTCTCTCGCCGCACCGATATACATATATTTGCTCGGAATATCTTCGTCGATATTAAAATTGTTTTACATTTCGTGCGCCGCGAACGTTTCGTTAACCATGGATGAAAATCGGCGTCAGCGAAAATACAACCGCGTAACTGGATTGTAATTACAATAAAATCCGCAACGCCGCATTGCCGCCAGCGACACATTAAGCTAATATTAATTAACCTGCTCTTCGTTCACTGCGTCAAAAGCGGCGGAAATTTGCGCGCTGCAAAAATTTTGCCGACTACGAGAAACAATCGCGATGAAAGAGGACAGGTGTACGTAACGTTACATTAGATTTATGCTACAATTTAGGTGCTTCGCAAATTTATTGGCCGAAAAATATTTTAGTAAAAATTGCAATGTAATTTTTGTGATTGTCAAACATGGGAATGGTAACATGGGAAAAACATTTTTATATAATAATACTTACATGATAGTAATGTAATAATAATACTATAATATAATATAATAATATATGCGTATTATATTTTATAAAGAAATATTGTAATTATATTCAAATGTTTTGATGCACAAACAAAATGCGTATATAATCGTAACAAACAATAGAATAAATGAAATTTATAATTGTTGTAGTAATAAATTATCTTATAATTTCATTATATATTACAGCTTTACAACAAACGTTGTAAAAGAGCAGAGAATGTAATTTGTGCTGTAAAATTTTTTTCCAGAATAGCGACGGAAGTAACGCGATGCTTATAAATTTGAAAGAAATAACACCGTTCAATTTCTAGATTAAAGGCGCACACCGTTATCATGTCGGCAACAGGAAAGTTTGACGAGTTTTAACGATAAACCTATATCACTCCGTAATATAGGTATTTATGATGCATCCTAGAGAGAGGAAACTCAGCGAATATATTGGCTTTCTCTTAAATACGACGTACAAAACTTGGGCGGTAAATCACTGCTTAGGGCGCGCTTATTACACAGCCAGAGCGCATTCTTATTACCGGTCGACGAGAGAGTTGGCGGATTAATTTACATTCGCGACTGTATAATGAAACGATGAATATTGTCGTTTGCTGCGTAAAACCGCAACACTGATCGCTAAACTCGATTTTCGCGACGAGATCGTTTTATATGCAAAATATGGGGCTATTAGTTCTCTGTGGACGCGCGCGATAATGCGTAGCTGGTGAAAGGGCTTCGTTCAAATATTCCAGGTACTTCTCTCTCGTACACAGTACGGTATGTATACGTCTGCTTAACCCTAGTCGTAATATCCGGATATTTAGAGGTGCCTTCCGTTTATATCCAATCGCGCGCGACAATGATAAGATGAGATATGATAAAAGCCAGGAGTTTTGGGATCCTTGACGAAAGATGTCCTTTCCCGTGGCACAGGCTTCTGCGTAGACGCACTGACATGTATCTAAGCGAGCGAGATACGTCAGTGCCTTTAAACACCGTACCTGTGTTTATCTCCGCGCGCGTTGACAGGTGGAGCGCCGCCGCGCGTCTATTGATTGGTGCCCAGCCTCCCCTCCAGAGGTCTCACACCCTCACATCGATTCTCTCTCTCAGTCGCTCGTACAGCAACCCTGCCGTACCTCTCGCCCTTTAGCTTCTTCTTCTCCTCTCTCTCTCTCTCTTTCGCCATCCTCTTTCCTTTCTCTCGTTTCTTCTTTATGCTTTGTCTGCTCTTCTCCTTTCCTCTTTTCTCATCTCTCCATCTTTCTCTCTCTCTATCGTTATT